ATCCGGTTGACCGATTTATCTGGTGGCAATGGCGCTAATAACGTCTGCCATGCTTTTTCTTGGACGATGCCGGCAGGAAAGAGCTTGAAGTATCGCTGACTCCACGCTTGGTGCTGCCTAGGGGCACAATTGTCTTGAATGAGCTCTGAAGGGGCAGCATCTCGTTGGGCGCAGGCCGCCGGTCCCGCCCAGTGTGTAGTATATATGGTTTTCATAGGCCTCGTTTCACATTCACGGGGATCTAGCTCAGGGGTAGAGCGCTTGCTTCGCATTAATTGCACTTGCATGAGGTCTTGGGTTCGATTCCCAAGTTCTCCATTCATTCTTTTTTTATCTCCGACATGTCCTCAACATGAGGAAGTGCGTGTCGTCTTGTCATGCATTGCACCACGGTCAACCTGTTTGCGCATCAACGTTCTCTTTGATCCTTTTCCTGTAGGCGCTTTTCTCCCTAAACAAACTATCCATTGCAAAAGCAGATTGCCCAACGCATTTTGAGCACTTGGCCATGATTCGATAATGAAAGGTGGCTTAATCGGACGCGGTCATTTGTGGCATCGGCTGAGCCATACGGCCGGCAAGGTCAGTCTGTTTACTTTCGGTCCCGTTCTTCAGTAGAGATCCAGCAGGGCTTTGATCAGGACGTCGGGCTGAGAGTAGACGCTACCAATGTGGTGAATGTTATGCCGGTGCAGGCAATCTCTCAGGACGATCGGCTTCGAAGTCGCTCCTGTTAGCTGCCATCAATCACGCGAGCGAGGTTTCTCTGATGTGCGCCCCACTGCAGCTTGATTCAGCTTGTCACCGCACAGTGATAAGGGCCAGCTGCCACTCGCCGCCTCGTCTTTGAAGGACCGTCAACCCCATGCAAGCACGGGGACGCCACCATCGAAGGAGAGCTCCGCGCTTTGCGCTTACTCTCCATTCCGAAGCATATGGAAAACTTCTCGAATTTGACAATACTCGTTCGGGTACGCACAATCGTATTGAGCGAGTCCCCATCTCGACGATACTTGAGCACTTGCAGCTGTTTTTGAATTTTCGACTCGAGAGGAACGTTAACCAGTCGTATACCTATAGTGATCGGGGCATTCGTCAATAACATATCGTGCTAGTCAGCAGTTCGAAACGCCCTTCGACAGTAAGTCTCTCAGGCTCATGAGCTTGCAACCACATCCGAAGCCCCCCTCCATGATCTGGATCACTCACGGATCTGGAGGCACCGACCATCAACACAATCTGAACCGAAAAACGGAGGGCCCTTTGTTTTAGTGGGTACACGACCTATGATCAACTGGACCACCTGTCAGAGTCCCACACTGTTGAAGCCAAAGCTCGCAAAGCTCAGCAATCTTCTTCGTCCGTAATGGAATTTTTGTCCTTCTCACGCTCTATCCTGTAGAATACCAAGTGATCAACTGCAATTGATAGTCTGTTTAGAAGAAAAAAGAGAATCAACTCGCGATACGAATCCTGGAATTTTGGAGAGTGGAGCGTCAACGGTATGGATGCATGTCTTGGCCGCTAAGGTACATTCTACAGATCAAGATGCGCAGTGATTGGCATAGGCCCTGGTTCGGGCCTGTCTCATATTGACGCAGTGGCAATGTGGTTGTGAGACGGTGTCGTTAACGAGATGTGATGAAGATTGATCTGCTGCCCCCTCCACTCAGGCTTCAAGTCTTCAGCACGGTACAGATTCTTATGATAGCAGTGTGGTGGAGTGAAGTATAAAGACCTTGGCGGCTACGATCAAAAATATAATCGAGAATCCAGCCCAATACAATCTGAGGGACTTTGTGCCTTCTTCTGTGGCTTCTTCTGAGACGCCATTAATGCCACGAGGTCAAATGATCCAGTGTCACTTGATGCTGTGCCTTGCACCGTGTCCGACCATCCACTTTGCATCGGCTTGTGCTTTGACCACATTCTTTCAGTCGCCACCTTGTCCGACCAAAGCAAAGGCGCTTTCGGCAGGTTTTTTTTTTCAAAACAAACTCTCCATTGCAATTGATCACTTCGTCATCTATAGGATAGAACGGGGGAAGAACAAAAATCCCCTACGGACGAAGAAGAGTCCTCATGGTCCCAGATGAGACGACCGCAGCTGGCCAAGTCAAACGACAATTTGATCCGAATAAAATACCTCAAACATTGGGTGCTTACTTTGTCTGCATACATTTGCCTTTGTCTCGCCTCTTTTCACGAGCCCTGGGCCTTGTTCTGCCTGACATTAAGCCCGAAGGAGGTTCTATATAGTACATGATGGACATTGAGAGTCTTTTGACGCTAGCTAAACTCGGTCCGCCTGTGATGGCGTGGGAAAAGTCGCTTCAAGCTTGTTTTCTCTCTGGCGCGCTCCTCGGGCCAGCTACGGTCTTTTCAATTTTTTTGCAGCATTCCAGAGTAAGAAGATTTGCAACATGCACGTTTCGCCGGTCCCGCTTGTTGTGTAGTATATATTGTATGAGCAGATTGCCGTCCACATCAAAGGGGATCTAGCTCAGGGGTAGAGCGCTTGCTTAGCATTGTTCTATACAGCAATCTGCATGAGGTCTTGGGTTCGATTCCCAAGTTCTCCACATTTTTTTTTGCTGGTTTCGCGTTTGTCACCGGGACTGGCTTCTACCTTTTTTTTAATCGTGTTGTTAAACAGGGTGCCGAGGTGTAGGGTGGTGGCGTGCGCGGAACACGCGTGCTGGCGACGCGTCGTGGCGCGGTCGCTGCGCTTTGCGATGTGATCGCGAAACAGTCGAGAGACGCTCGGGATTTATTTCTTGTTACATAGGGAGTGAAATGTCGCGTCTGGTGACCGTGCAGATACATTGCCTCGTGGCGATCAAGGCCGAGGACAGTTTCCGACTCGCCCGCGCTCGGTCGCTGTCCCACTCTAACGATATCATTTCCGCGTTGCCCTGTCTCGACGTCGGAAGCACTGGTAGGATCGCCGGAACAGAATCCGCCGAGTGTGTATCGCCGAGCAGTTTGGGTACACGGAGATTGTCCCGGAAGCGCCGCAACCGCACGCGGTCCGTGCTCGCCAACACAGGCACAAGGCACACGCACAAGCACGTGAACCCTCGGCACACGACACGATTGTGCTAGAACGGACCTAGGATGGCGTTCAGACGACTGCGGCCGCACCATTCGCGCACAGAGTCGCTCCCGCAATTTGCACCAGACGGCCGCAACCTGTCAGACACGACACACCCAGATTACAACCCAGAGACGGACCCAGAGCTGCGTAAGCTTCAGCCACTGCCACTGCGCCGAGGCAGGCTGTCGGCCATTGAGCGCAAGAGTGTTCTGCGCTCGCTTGAAAGTGGAGGCAGCCTGAGAACGGCACACAAGGCTCATGTAGACGTACAAAAACGTTGCTGACTCGATTCATGTACTGTCAATGCTCCAATAGAGCTGCGCATAGTGCGCACTGCCGCTTCATCGATCCATGAATCCATCATGGAGGAGCAGCGGCGACGAATCAAGCGCACAGAATCGCTCAAACAAAAAATAAAGTCAACGCCTCTTCGGCCGCGCAGCAAATCCATCTTTGGGCGAAAGAAAAACAGACCGCGAAGCTCAACTGGACAGGGCAGCTTGCCCGAAGAGGACGAGGAGCTGGACGAGGACGACACGAGGGTGACAACGTCGAGCGACAAGAGGCGATCAAAGCTTGAGCAACAAGCAACACAGGCCAATGCGGCAGCCGAGGCGCAGGAGAGTGCACGCAGGCAAGAAAAGCAAGACGGCTCGGGCTGGAAGCTTGGGTTTCGCAAGGGAAAGCGACCAAAGCCGAGGCGGACAGTGTACGTCAATGTTGAAGGTGCGATGACCGACCCGCGTGGCTACGAACGCAACAAGGTTCGGACGAGCAAGTATACGCTCGTCAGCTTTGTGCCAAAGGTAAGTTTACCTTCATCATCGCCCAGAACCAAGCCCATTCGTTGACATTGTATCGACAGAATCTGTCAGAGCAATTCCGACGGATAGCCAACATTTATTTCCTCGCGCTCGTCATTCTCCAGGGCAAGTTGCTGCCCGGCTCTGATTGGGGAGCTCTCACTGACAAGCGATGCCCCCCAGTCTTTCCCATATTCGGAGCAGTCAATGCACAGATCGGTATGCTACCGCTGCTCGCTGTATTGGGCCTGACTGCCATCAAGGACGGCATCGAAGACGGCCGACGACATTCGCTCGACAATGCCGTCAATAATTCGGCCGTCACAAGGTTAGGTGACTGGAACAACGTCAATCAACCAGTAGATACTCGCGCATGGTGGCAATTTTGGAAGTCACCGACACGGTCAGGCGTGTCGCGCGGCGTACGCAAACTGCGCGAGAAAGAGGGCGAGTTTGACGCAGGATTCCTGTACACGACAACGCTCGACATGACTCCGACGAAAGCTGCCGCAAATGAGACGCTCGAAGGCCAATTGCAAGACAAGAACAACAGCATGTTTACTATCGATGCTCCGTCCGCGCTCAGCAGCTACCCGCCAAACCGAGCGCGCTCAGAGACGCTCGAGTCCAGTCGGTACGCCACTTCATCCCTCGGCAGGTCGACAAAGCCGTCAGACGTCCTGTCTTACACCCATCCCACCGCGGGCACGGCAAAATGGGAACGCACACTATGGAAAAAGCTCGAAGTTGGCGACGTTATCCTGCTCAAAGAAAACGAGCAGATCCCGGCTGACGTCGTCGTCTTGTCTTCGTCCGACTCTGACGGCGTATGCTTCATCGAGACTAAGAATCTTGACGGCGAGACAAACTTAAAGCCCCGCAAGAGTCTCAAGGCGACGATGGGCATCAACAACGAGGAAGACATCGAGCACGCGCGCTTCTGGGTCGAGTGCGAGGCCCCACACGCCAATTTGTATTCGTTTAACGGTGTCCTCAAGTATAGGTTATCTGGCGACAAGCTAGGAACCGAGCACCCGATCATCGAAGGCAAGCAGTTGGCCGACGACGCCGAGATGCAAGAACCTGTTACTATCAACGAGCTATTATTGCGAGGCTGTGCCCTTCGCAATACGAAATGGGTCATCGCGCTCGTCGTCTTTACCGGCGCCGACACCAAGATCATGCTCAACCAAGGCGAAACGCCTTCGAAGCGATCCAAGATTGAGAAAGAAACCAACTTCAACGTCCTGGCCAACTTTGCAATCCTAATGAGCATTTGCATCGGATGTGCTGTTGGGCAAGGCGTGCTCGACAACAAGGCGAGTACATCTGCAGACTTTTTTGAAGTTGGCGCGCAGCCGTCGGCGAGCTCGATTGTCAACGCTATCGTCACATTTGGGTCAGTGCGAGAGCTATCC